TGTTTCCTCTCCTGTCTCCTTATACGTCTCCCGTGTTTCCTCTCCTGTCTCCTTCCCTCACTCTCGTGTTTCCTGCATTCAGGGCGGCGGCTCAGCGGTCATCGACATGGAGAACATGGACGACACGTCGGGCTCGAGCTTTGAGGACATGGGCGAGATGCACCAGAGGATGAAGGAGGAGGAGGAGGTCGCGGCAGAGGCTGCCGCCACCGAGGACGACGTGGCCGACGACGGAGAGTTCCTGGGCATGAAGGGGTTAAAGGGTCAGCTGGGCCGGCAGGTGGCCGACGAGGTGAGGCGGGGTTATCTGGTCTTAAACACTTGCAAACATTTTCTTCTTCTGTAGCTGTTAGCTGCTGTTACAGAGGCCAGCTGAAGCTCCTCTGTGCCACACAAAGACCGTGTTCAAAATTTCAGAAGGAAATTCAGGAGAAAGGTCTGCCAGCTAAAAAGATTTAATTTGTGTTGGCATCTGAAATTACAAGTTTACACAGCGCTGTCGATCTGTGTGTGAAATCAAGCATCTGGTTCACCAAGAGGATAACCCTCAAACAGGCAGCACAACTTTCTATAGTGAGACAAAAACAAAGGTTATCATGGCTCCCACACAGACGCGGCAGTCGTGCCGTCTCCTGGCGAATCCTCCCTGTCCATCGCCTGGTATCTGTTCGCTTCTCTGTCCGAGACAGAAAAGGAAAACACCTCCCTGCCCAGCCTTGATAATCTAATGTTATTATCCATTCTTCTTCTACTGACTCTAAGTTCAGGTTCAGAATATCTTGCTCGGACGCTCGAACCCAGAGACTTATTCTAACCATTATCTGTGTGTAAGCGTGTTGCGAACAAACCTCTGCAGTCGACGTCATTCCTACAGTTTATCAGTCCGGACAGTCACGCCGAACGAAGCTTTCAACCTTCAAAGGAGTGCCAACCCATACGAGCACATTTGCAGTGTGTATATAAATATAATTACAACAGCTTTATTTAAAAATCAACCCTAACAGCCCCTGGACGCCTCTGTTGTTACTTAGTGACGTCACTCTTACCGCTTTTTTCACTAGTACCTGCTCGGCTTCAGTCGTTTGACGTCAGCGGTGACGACAGTCCTGTGGCGTCGTTTTAACGTGACACAAACACGACACAACAGTGGAGGATGTCGAGGCGCACCCGCTGCTCTGTGGCGTTCAGTCAGACGCCGCGGTGTTGGTTTGTGTGGCCACATTCCTTGTTGTGGGTTTCAAAAAAGGCGGTTTTGATTTTCCTAAAGGAGTCGCTCTCATGACTCATCGAGTGAAGCCACTGACCGGCCAATCGGTGGGATGCAGTCTGTTGATGGTACATGTTTGGATCACTTGGAACCCTGGCCAAGCAGGTACTAAAGGTACTTTACCTGGTACCAGGTGCTACGGCTAAAAGCCGAGCCGAGCAGGTGTTAGTGGAAAAGTGCTAACTCGTTTCTTCTTCTCTGAAATGTTTTACCTGTGTGATGCGTTCAGGTGTGGCAGGCGGGCAAGCGTCAGGCCTCCAAAGCCTTCAACCTGTACGCTAACATCGACATCCTGCGGCCATACTTTGACGTAGAGCCGGTACAGGTGCGCAACAGGTAAGACTTCCTCCTTCCTGTCAGCTGTTTCCTGCTTTCTGCTGAGACTAGTGCTAACAGCTAATGGCTGACTCCCCCGCAGGTTGATCGAGTCGCTGATACCTGTCCGCATGATCAACTTCCCCCAGGTATGCATGAGTCTCTTTGTCGTAGTGTTAATGGCAGTCAGTGAGCAGGCTTAGCGCCTCCTGCTGGACCGGAGGCTGGAGCTGATGTTCGTGAGGGAGCTTGGTGGTGGAGATGCCGATAAAGGGTTCAAACGTGTCTCACTGCAGTTCGATGGTCAGATTCACACCTGTATAGGTGATGTTCAGATCCAGGTTTAGGTTCCTCTGACGTGTGTGCTTCCTGTGCAGAAGATCGCAGGCGAGCTGTACGGGCCGTTGATGCTGGTGTTCACTCTGGTGGCGATCCTGCTGCACGGCATGAAGACCTCAGGAACTGTCATCGTAAGAACACACACATGCACACACACCCTGTTCATGTTTCTTTGTCTGTTAAAGTGTTCTCTGTGTGTGTATTTGCAGAGAGAGGGCACACTGATGGGCACTGCTATCGGGACGTGTTTCGGTTACTGGCTCGGCGTCTCTGCCTTTATCTACTTCCTGGCATACCTGGTCAACGCTCAGATCACCATGCTGCAGATGCTGTCCCTGCTGGTAAGTCCTGGAACTGCAGACACACACACACACACACACACACACACACGCAGAACAGGGTGGTGTGTTTTTGCTGTTCTCAGATGTGATTCAGGTTTCTGAGCCGCACCTGAATGCAGCCCTCCTCCTCCTACAAGATGTCATGTGACCTCACCTCCTGTCTGCCGTTGCCAGGGTTACGGCCTGTTTGGTCCCTGCATCGTCCTCCTCGTCACCTACAACATCCACTTCCACTTCCTGTTCTACGGGCTGTGGCTGCTGCTCGGCGGCCTGTCCACACTGCGCATGGTGAGCTTGTCGCTTCCCATCAGCTCCTGTGCCAGGACACGCTCCCTGTGTGAGCTCACCTGTGTGTGTGTGTGTGTGTGTGTGTGTGTGTGTGTGTGTGTGTGTGCGCGCACAGGTGGCGGCGCTGCTCTCTCGGACTGTGGGTCAGACGCCGCGGCTCCTCCTCTGTGGGACGCTGGGGCTGCTGCACATGCTCTTTTTGCTCTACCTGCACTTCAACTACCACACCATCGTAGAAGGTCAGAACCAGAAGCACACAGACAGGTCTTTGTGGTTCTCCTGCTGCCGGTCCAGGGCGGTTCGGTCGGCACGGCGTGCTCTGTCTCGCTGGTTTTTATGCTTACTTCTGCACAGGTGTGTCTGCTGACTCGTGTTTTCTCCTCCGTGTTTGTTTCAGGGCTGCTCGACTCCCTGGAAGGACACAACATGGCGCCCATGCAGCGGGTGGCCAGAGACGTGCCCGAGGTGATGCTCAACGCCACGGCGAGGAACCCGGGGATGCTGCTGAGCGCCTACTGAGGGGAGGGGGTTTCTGTTATGTCTGTGAAACTTAAACGCTTCAATTTAAAGATCTGCGCGCGTGTGTGTGTGTGTGTGTGTGGTTGGG